GTTTTTTTTTTTTTTTGTGAGTCAGTGACCCCTGCCCAAAAAAGGGCTCCCCACCCCTCCCATAAATAAACAAAACATTGAAACCTTTTATGTTGGACATAATATTTTACTTTATTTAAAATGAGGTTTGATAAACTAACATGAGAAAGTTAAAACACTTAATCTGTTTCATAATTTAAATTAAACTCTTCTTTCTAGCTGCAGCTGGTTCAGAAAATAAGGTCACAGTATCCAGCAGGGTGGTTCTCAACCCTGCCCCTTCCGCTTGAGGCCCTGCCTTTCTGGGTCAGCCTGTGGCAACTTCTGAAATTTGTGAAGTGCCCTGCCCCCCCCTCCTCCCATCCAAAATTATTGCCCAACCCAGTGCTAGCCACATGTGGTTATTTGGCTGGTTGAGTGTGGCTAGTTTGCGATAGCAGTAGCCACTATAGAACTAGTTGAACACCACAGAGTTAATTGGATAGGTATGCCTCACCCATTCAGTAAGGTGATGCTTACTGGTTAAGATTTCACATTCCTAATATGATAACTTCATTTGATATTCTGAATCAACAACTTTGGCAGTATTTTGAATTTTGTCTGAGAGCTGTTCCTTACTCATCTAGCCTCCAGTGGTGCTAATCTTCCGAGATTAGGCTGAAGAAAATATGGCTGAAGGAATTGAAAGCTTAAGTGTTGTGCACTTTCTTATTTTCTCTTCTTGACTTTCTGGAGGAGGTATCAGATAGGCTTCTTACTACTTCCTGCTCAAGGTCTCACTGCTAGATTTATCTTGCTTGTTTGAGCTATATGCCATGCCTTTTTTGCTTGGCAGCTAAACTCTGCCCCTTGATCCCTGTTCAATACAGATGGCACTTGAGCAATTTTTACTATAAGCTTTTTGGCTCATCTCTTAATTCAGGAACTTGCTGCATGTTTGGGTTTAAAAAAATTGGAACAGTTCCAAATAGAAGAGTCTGGAAGCTAGACACAATCAGTGATGGTGCAAATAGTACAGTGGTTTATGTGCCAAATGTTGGTCTCTGCCATATTGCTAATTTCAAGATTAATTTTGTAGGGTGTTCTAATGAATTTGGCTGCTAGCAATTGAAAGATTGGACTCTATGATAAATAGGTTTTTGGCTCTGAGTTGGAAATGTAGTATTTTTTCCTGATTCTGAGATGCTTGGATAAATGGAGCTGGCTAAGGTTCTCCCCCCCTTCCCCCCCCCCTTTGTTTGGCTATCTTTATTTAGTGTAGTGAATTGCACTGTCTCTCTCTCTAGTCCTCTGATCAGTTCCGTATGAATAGCAGCAACCGAACAGATGTCTTTGTGCTGTCCTGAAGTATGTTGTAGGTCCAGGAGTGAGCTACAAGTGTAACTCATTCTTGGTTCCCATTTTAGTGCTTGGCTTGTGTATGCCAAAACATGATAAAACTCTTGAAATATAAGATTGTCATACTAAATCTTTCTACAGGGTACTGCGCCCTCCAGGCGGAGGTTCCAATTTCAACTTGGGCTTTGATTTGCCGAAAGAGCAGCCAGTGCGAAGGAACAGAATGGCATCCAACATCTTTGGTCCTCCTGAAGAGACTCCACTTTCTAAGGCTGAATCAACAGGTAAAAGCATCACTCTGGTTTTAGTGTCTATTCTAGTGTTGCTAGTGTCCAGCGATTATTCTAATTTTGTAATGCTTTATGGAAAAGGCTGGTTCAAGTGGTCCCTTGAACTGCAAAGCAGTATCATTAGCATCTTGAAGTGAATGCAGTTGATGGTATTGAGGGGGGGAAATTTTTTTTTTTTTAAGTTCAGGCACCAGCAGTTTGAGATTCAGATAATGTGGTTTAATCTCTCATGTTTGCCACACCTTTTCTGTTTCTATGTATAAATGAGGAAAAAGTATATATTTATCTCAAAGGGGTGAGGCTGTGAGGATAGACTGTTTGAGGCATTTTAATACTGCAGTGATGAGACACCAAGATACCTGGGGTGAAATCTTGGTTGTCACTGCTCTTTCACTAGTTCATGAGAAATAAAACTATGGATAATTGTGCTAGTGTGCTTTCTTGTAGGTTGAATTTACATCCTTACTAAAACTTCAAAAGTGTTAGACTTAGTCTCTCTGTTTTAAAAAGGAGTAGTCCTGTGGCACCTTATGGCATATTTACGCTGCAGGGCAAAAGTTGAATTAAGACACGTAACATCAGTTACGTAAATTGTGCAGCCGAAGTCAAAATAGCTTAATTTAGCTTTTGGCACTGTCTACACAGCAGGAAGTCGAAGGAAGAGCAAGCACTCTTCCTTCAACGTCACTATCTCTTTGTGAAATAAGGATTACAGGAGTCAGAGTAAGAAGTCCATCTCAATATTATTTTGAAATAATGGCTTGCTGTGTAGGCATGGCCTTGGAGACTAACAAAAAAAAATAGTATGATCTTTTGTGGGCAAAACCTATGTCAGATTAGATGATCTCAAGATGAAAGCTTGCATGTGTGTGTTGGTCTCTAAATTGCCATGAGACTACTCATTTTTAAAACAAAATTCTGCTTTCAGGGATCATGCCCAGAGGTGTGAGAGAAGATTCTGAACCACAAAGGAGAAACTCTTCTGATGCAAACTGTGGGGACTTCATAGATCCAAAGGTCAGTGATTATCAAAAGCTCGTGCCATGCTTATGGCTGCTTAATGGTTGCTGGTAAGATTATATAGTAGGAAAAGGGACTGAAGGCTTTATTATGGCCTCTTATTTTCTACCTGGAGAAAGTATAAAATCTCCCAGTACCATTAATAAGCTGAGAGCTAGCAAACTAAACACTGAGTTCTAGATTTTTAAACTGGGTACTCAGTAAATGTTTCTGACTTGTTCCATTGCTAAAATCTGGAAATACTGAGGAAAATTGTGCCTTAGCCCTAATGGGGGTTCAATATTACCGGAATTGACTTGTAAAGTTCAAGCAGCTGTGCTTTGGGGATGTTAGTTTTGTGCTGGAGTGCAAAATAAGTAACCTGAATACTTCTGTAATGACTTGCTTGGCTGCCATCTACAAGGAGCAGCAGATGCAAGTATGTGGCCTAACTTGAGGTGGAAAGGCAAGAAAGGGACTGTGCTATTTGTACAGGTTTTTGCTTGATAGGTGATTCCAAATCCTGGAGAATAAGACCTAGAACAGTAGCTTCTGTGCACATAGCTAAACTGGAGAGGCTCAAGCAGGCTTTGACTGGTTTTTAGATTTCTTCATAGATGCAGCCTAAAATCCAATAGCTTTCAAGGAAAGAAACTACAAAGTGTAGCTCCCAGGTTTGATAAAACAGATAAGTGTGTAGAGACTTACAGTTATTCATATTTAAATGGCATCTAAAGTCACAGACAAAGTTGACTTTTTTTGATTCACAATGAGACTTGTGAGTATAGAAACGTCTTGCTTGCTAACTGGAACGTAACAGCTATAAACTTCATCTGATGGTTACAGCAGAAAACCAGAGTAAACTGTTTGTTCTAATATGTTTAATTTCATTATATATTCTGTAGCATGAAGAAGATGACTCTTCAATATCATTCCTCTCACAGAATGCTTTACTTGAACAGTAGTTGTAGCTGCAAGCAGTTTAAATGATTATAGTGTAGTCCTGTCTAGAACTTAAGAGGTGCATACACATGCTTCAGCCTGTCTCATGTAATTCTGTTGACGTCAGTGCAGCTGTCAGCTTACACCTGAGCAACAGGCTCTCCATTCTAAGATTCATTATCTCACTGTTAATGGGTTGATCTGCATCGGGGAAATGACCTAGTACTTTATAGATTGCCAGCAACAGTTTCATGTTGGGCCCCAACCTGGTGTTAAAGCTGCTCAAGCAAGTAAGGAAGTTTAATTCAGAGCTGTTACAGAAAATGTAACTGGGACTGAGTGGAATGTAAGCTCAGTAAGAATCACTTTGTTCCACTTCACATGCAGTTAAATGACCTTTGAGACAGCTTTCAGTACCTGGTGAAAATTTCCATGACACATTTTCTAGCTATCAGGTTAGTTTTAAATATAACTTAAGCTTTCAAAGTGAATTTTCTAGTGAAAGGTGTTAAGATGAACAGTGTTGGATTGAGTGCCCTGTCTGCTTCTTGCACACGAGCACAATACAGGTTTCTCCATGTCATTATAACTCTGGTCTTTAGGGTGCGTTGGCATCTATGTCCAGTCAGTCTTTACCATTATGCTCTTATTAATGAACATGTCTGTATTTTAAAAACAGATATATCTAACCCCTTTCCCTGATCACTTGACTGACATTAGACTCCTACTTAAATTGACCACCTCCATAGATGTGAGTGGCAATAGTGGTTCTTCTGCATGCATTATCCACAGTACTGCCTTGACATCTGATCTAGAAAATTCAACATCCTAATATTGCTTCCTGTTTCTGCGTTTCAGAGGTAGCTGTTACATTGTTTCTTCATTCCCAAAACTGGGAGGGCTGTGCTAGGTATAGAGAAATATTGTTTAGCCTTGTTTAGCAGTCATTGCTAGGTGGAGCCCGGTGTTCAGTGCTTCCTACTGTATCTAATATTAAAAATGCATTGCAGAGTAAAGGGAAATAACGTGTGTGTTTTTTCTTCCAGGGCGGGGAAACTGGTGACACTGTTGGTAAGTAACTAGGTGTTGGGGGGGGGGGGGGGGGGGGGGGATTCAGTTCTGGTATATTTTAAGTGTTGGAAGGAAATATGGATATAAATAAGTTTTTAATGACTAAAATTGTAATAGTTAACACCTGCCTGTCCAAGATTGCTTGGGCATGACTTTGGAGGGGTGTATCTCCTGCCAGCTTCATCAGGCTGAATTGGACCAGCCAGGGTTGGAAGTGGCTGGGGCTCAAACCTGTGTGCCCCACAGGGCTCTGGGGCTCATGGCCAGTGTTCCCTCTAAGGTGTGTGCCTGTGTGGCCATATACAAAAAATTCTGAGCCCGCCCACATCCTTTGGAGAGCTGCACAGCAGCACTCCCCTTCCTGGACCTGGAAGGTTAGTTGCGTGGCTGCTCCCATGGCCAGGGCCTTGGGGTGGAGACGTGGACATGGCAGGCAGGGGCCGCGCTGGCTGCTGCCAGGACCCCAGGGAAGACAGCTGCTGCTCCTGGAGGTGGGGCGGGTGGTTTGCTGCTGCCGCTAGGAGTGGGGCTGCTAACCACCCAACACCTCTATCATACTAATCCAGGGACACACCCCTGCAATCAACTCTGGTGCCAACTCTGTCCACACATCTATACAAGCGATACCATAACAGGTCCTAAACACACAAACCACCATATCAGAGGCTCATTTAATTGCACATCCACTGAAGTGATATATGCCAGCAATGATCCCCTGCCATGTATGTTGGCCAAACTTCCAAAAAATTATTGGAAAAATCAAATATCCAAAAAGGCAACACACAGAAACCTGTTGGGGAACATTTTAACTTGCTTGGGCACTCATTTAATGGATTTCAAAGTCACTGTATTGTTTCTGGCCAATTTCACAAGCCAGCTCTGCAGGGAAGCCTTAGAACTTAACTTCATTTACAAATTTGATTCCTGTAACAGAAGTATGAATAAAGACATTGGCTGGATGCCCTGCTACATTCCACATCTTAATGACACAAAAAACCGAACTATGGGTACTACAGAACAGTTAGAGAAGATACCATCAGCTTGTAGCATGAGCATTCTAATTTTGTCTCCCGCAACCCTTATTAACATATATTGATAGTAACTGATGTGTGGCATGCATCTGACCAAGCACATGTGACATCAGCATCAGCGCACAAGACACATTTCACCCCGCTCACAGATGGAAAATCTTAGAGGAAACACTGGTCATGGCAGTCTGCCCCATGCGCTAGGCGCCTTGTAGTATAAGCCATCTTCCGGCATGTACCGGCTTCCAGATGCCTGTCCCACTCCCAGGGAGCCAGCTGGGAGGGAAGATTTTTAACTGAAATGGAAACCGCTAAGCATCAGCTTATCGGTTAACTGAAAGTTTAACTATTAGGGATGTAAGAGTTAATACCCATGTAAAAAGCTAACCTGTTAAGTGTGGAGGGCTGGGGTCCTGTGGCAGGGGGAGGGTCTTGCTCCAGCTTTCTGGTTAACCTTTTACATCCTTTACGGGAGAGGGGAGAATCATATATCTTGTTCAGATACTAGTGGTGAAATCTAGCCTGTGACTACCTCTTGGATCTTTCAAAAGGGTGATGACTTGAATATTTGCTGTGCTTGGTTAGAATGTGGAGGGAGGGATAGCTCAGTGGTTTGAGCAGTGGTTTGCTAATCCCAGGGTTGAGAGTTCAATCCTTGAGGGGACCATTTAGGGATCTGGGGCAAATCTGTCAGGGATGGTACTTGATCCTGCTATGAGGGCAGGGGGCTGGACTTGATGACCTCTCAAGGTTCTTTCCAGTTCCATGAGATGGTATATCTCCATATTATTAATGTAGATGAAGTCTAATTGTAGAATACCTGTGTCCTTGTTTTTAACCCATTGGATTTGGGTTTGAGCATGTTCCTTTGCCAACAGTAAAGTTAGTCTCGAGTACAGGCTTCTTGGCACTAACGAGCTAACTTGAAAGTAGGGATGTATAAAGGTTGACCTGTAAGGGGTTTGGGGCAGCTCCCCATCTGCCCTGGGCAGGGAGTCCTTCCAGCCCCGCAGAGCCTGCTGGAGCAGCCCCTGTCAGTGTCTCTAACTCTCCCCCCCTCCCCCCAATTATGCAGCAACCCCACTCAAGGAGACTTTGCTGCAAGCTCTGCAGTATAAAGCTTAAATAAGCTTTATATTGCAGAGTCCACAGTGTGTGTAACCATTGTGATTTTTAGTGGTTACATGGTTAGATTTGCAAACGCACTTTTGTGTCCCTACTTGAAATCCATGTAACGGGGGAAATGGGGATGGAAAAGGACTGTCCCTAGATACAACTGCTGTACTGCACCAAGTTTCATCCCTGCATTTTATTTAACCTAAATGAAATAAATCTTTGACTGTGGGAGTTGTGATGCTTTCTAAGACTCCTCTTTAGCATCCCTAATTGAGTGCCACAAATCATTAGTACTAGGACAGTGGGGTCCCAACCATAGTTTGAGAGCCAAATTGGGTTGCAAGTGCAGTCCTATTCTAATGGGGTCTCCAGGGCTGACTTAGACTTTCTGGGGCTGAAGCTTGAGTCCCTCCACACAGGGCTAAAGAGAGAGCCTGAGGGCATCAGTCTGGAGTGCAGTGTTCAGGTTACAGGGCCCCTGCCTGGGGCTGAAGCCCTGGAGTTTCAGCTTTAGGTTCCCCTCCTGCCCTGCCTAGAGCAGTGGGGCTTGGGCAGCCTCAAGCTTCAGTCCCCTTTCCTGGGATTGTGCAGTAATTTTTGTTAGAAGGGGGTCACGGTACAATGAAGTTTGAGACTTCCTGTACCAGGATTTCAAAATCAGTGTGTATGAAGCTCTGTAAGTGACTTCAGTTTCTGAACAATTTGCTGACACCTTAGATACTAAGTTCAGAGACTGTAAATATTAAGTTGAGTTTTGTTTATAAAAGGACATTATTTGTATTGCTACAGAAAATTCAGAATTAAGTGAAATGTGACTAAATCTTGCTGTTCTTTGTAGCTTCTTGTTCAGTATATATGCCCTTAAAAGACCACTTTTGGCTGCATAGCTGTTGAGCCAAGTGCACAATATAGTCTTTGCAGAACATCTCAAGTCTGAGTGAAGGTAGTTGTCATGTATTTTGCTTTTTGTGATTGTTGCCAACATCTGTTTAATAGTCAGTGACTACCTGCAAAATATAGCACTTGCAACTCTGGTCCACAATGAAGAAACCGCTCCTAATGCTGTCCTCTGATTGGACAGGGTTTGAACATTTGAAGAGCCACATTTGAACATGAATCTACTCCCAAAAGACTTTAAAAGCATTCATAAGGTTCATGTTTTTATTAAAGCTTAGATTTCTTCACTAAGCCAAATGGATACTTGATAACTGTAGGGATTTGTTTGTGATTCCTTAGGGCAATGGTGTCTACTATGCCCCTTAAGACTCTTAACAGTCATCCTCCTCAAGGAGGAGAATTAGGTGGAATTTATATTTGAGTACATGAATATTAATAGCAATTTCAATTTATAACCTTTTAAAAAGCATCTTGGAAAAATCTAGGTTTCATGTGTATTCATTATATTTTTCATGTGGTAGGTCCCCCCCCCCCCCCCCCCTCCCCCCCCCCTCCACCCTTTTTATCACGCACTCCAACTTCATTGGACTATTATCTGACTAGCCTTGCTATTTATGCACTAAAAGGTATGCTTCCTACTAAGAATCTGATATGCAGTGTCTCCATCTAGATGTCATTGAAAGCCTTGTGGTGTGTCATTAGGGGCATTGGCAACTTGAATCTTAGTTCCTTTGTGACCAAGCAGATCTAGCTTCAGCTCTCTTAATCTGAGCTTTTCATTCAGTATCTTTCTGGCAGGGACCTCTTAGATGCTTTAACCAAGACTTCATAATTTGAAAAAGCCAGAAGGTACTCTGTTAGAAACAGCTTACCTATCCTTGTAGGATGTAAATGGTTACCATCAAATTAAACAGCACTTGTAATTTGTTTTCTATAACTGTAAGTTTTCTGTATTCTAGTTTAAATTTTGTGTATTGAATGGCATTTGGTTGATTCTATCCATATAGTTAAATTTCTCTTCCCATGTAGTTTTCACACCAACAGAGCTCTTTTAAAAACAGATTGCTTTAAAAATGTACCTATGACTCAACACTCAAGGATAAAGTGATACTTCACACCTCTTTATTTCAAGTAAATAGTCTTCTCTTTAAAGTCTTTACCAACTAGTTTTGCTGAGCAGGAGTTTATTGGCAAAACAGTCCATGTAAATATGGAAAACCATTGATGCCTTTGATCATGGATAATCTCTTTCTCCAGGGTCTAGATGAAGTCTATTGCCTCACACCTTCTTACATTTACACAAAAATAGCCCACTTCCTGATTAGAACAAGTATCCATTTGTTTCTTTAAACCAATACTTCCCTTAGTGCCACTTTCCACACCAGTGAACTTTAGCTTCTGGAAGATCAGCAAAGCTGTGAAGTTACATTTCCTGAAAGGACTTCTCCTTAAAGGCTTTAGGAGAACTTCCATTTAAGGAGGAAAGATTTATGGGATGGGCTTGACATCTGATAACGCTACAGCAAATGAAGCAAAATGCAGGACAATGTAGCACTTTAAAGACTAACAAGATGGTTTATTAGATGATGAGCTTTAAGTGGGTCTGGCCCACGAAAGCTCATCATCTAATAAACCATCTTTTTAGTCTTTAAAGTGCTACATTGTCCTGCATTTTGCTTCAGCTACCCCAGACTAACACGGCTACATTTCTATCACTATACTACAGCAAATGTTAGTGTGGGAAGAGTATCTAATGCCCTTGACTAATATGCAGTTTTCCTAAATGTTTTCCTATGAGCCATTCCTAATGCATTTTAATTGGCATTGCAGTGGTGGACTCTGAGACCAACTTTAGAATCTACTGAGGCAAGAGCATGAATTCTTCTTCGAGTGCTTGCTCATGTCCATTCTGATTAGGTGTACGCGTGCTGCGTGCACGGATTCCGGAGCTTTTTTCCC